GAAACAGAGACAGAGAGAGAGAAAGAGCCTTTAGGTAGTGTCTGGTGAAGCCTATGGATTCCTTCTCAGAATAATGTTTTTAAATGCACAAAATAAAACACATAGAATTGCAAAGGGAACAAATTATATTGCAATACAATTACCAAAATATAATTAACTCAGGGTAAGGGACCTCTGTTACAGTTTAAATATATTTTTATTTTTCTTTTTGCAAACTAAATAATTGGACATTTATGGTTTAATATATACTTTTTTTTGTACTATCTGATACTTTTTATTGATAGTTCATTGTAAAACATTTACAATAAATAAAAATGATAACAAAAGAAAAGGCCCTAAGAAGTGTGTCCAACTACATATCTGTGTGAGGCTTGATTTTCTTCATATGCTTCAACCGGAACAACAGATTGAAGGCAGAAGCTGTCCTCTATTAGGCCAGACTTTAAAGAGATTTGCAAAAATATGTAAAACAATACCACTTTTCTCATTAAGTTTTTAAAAAATCATTACTTTTAATAAAAATATGTTATTTATATTAACATGTAATAAATACTATGATTTTTAAATAAATTAACAAATACTTTAAATGTGCATCAGGTTTGATTTCTAACATAGTAAATATTGATAGATGTATCCCCATATAAACAAAAGTTCTTCAGAACATAAAGGGGTCCTGAGGCCAAAAAGTTGGGGAACCGCTGCCTTAGAGAGGACACTGAGGAGTGAAAGGACATAGAATAGCCTCAAGCAGGAGATCCTTGCAGAAATAGTATGGCTGGGGACCTGATAACTACAACAATCTGCCCTGGGAATCCCAATTATTGTTATTGACAGGTTAAAATACAGCCTAATAAACTAATACAGACCTCACTCACTTTATGTATTTATTTTTTGGGCTAGGCAATGGGGTTGAGTGACTTGCCCAGGGTCACACAGCTAGTAAGTGTTATGTGTCGGAGGGTGGATTTGAACTCAGGTCCTCCTGAATCCAGGGCCAGTGATCTATCCACTGCACTACCTAACTGTCCCCCCCCCCACTCACTTTAAATTACTTTGTTCTTTCTGTCTTAGTCTTTGCCTTTCATTCCCTTCTTTCTTTCCTTCCTTGCTTCTCTCTCTCTCTCTCCCTTCCTTCCTCCCTCTCTCTCCTCCCTTTCCCTTTCCCTTCTTCCTTTCCTTTCTTCCTTCCTTCCTTCTTCCCTCCATCTCTGTCCCTGTCTCTGTCTCTCTCTTTCTCTCTCTCAGAGAAGAATGGACCATCTTATTTCTTACCAGAACTAGCCTCAGGCAAAAACTGTTTAAACTTCTTCTGCATTTCCTAAGTCTTAATGTTAGCCTGAGGAATTGGAGCCTATGTTATTTTCCAGATCCATTGTGACAGATGTAAGGTAAAATTCACCTCTTTAGATTGGAGTACGTTTACAAGGTCATTTCTGAGACTTGTGGGAAGCCCTTGTAAAGAGACAGCACTGCCCAGTTTTCAAGCTCCCCTGCCCAGATTTACACAGAACCCAACCCCATTTATGATCATCTTTGCAAATCAAATCAAATGTACAATTGAAGTTATCAGGGGCGTTGAAGGAATGAGCAAGGGGAATCAGTGCCATAATGGAGCAAAGGTGAGATGTGAACTGGTTTTGTCTTCCTCTTCCCCCGCTGGGTACAACATCTGGTTGCTGTTTGATATCATATGGCTTCTTATGGATGCTCCCTTCCCCTCCTCTTGCTCTCTGAGACCTCAAGGATGGGGAGGGGGTAGAGGAGGTGGAAGAGAGGAAGGGAGGGATGGAGAGAGAGAGAGAGACAGAGACAGAGAGACAGAGAAAGAGAGAGGGAGAGTGAGAGAGCACCTCTAAGGACGCCAGCCAGCCAGAGAGAAAGCAGAGTACCCTTTCCCATACAGGGCACAGTAGCTTGGAAGGGGGAAGAAAGACAACTGAGAATCCATGAGAGCTACAGTTCCCCTCACAACCCAAATGCAGCAAAGAGGGAAAAGGGAAAACAAAGGACTTTATGATCACTCTATGGTACCTTTTCCTTGTTTAGTTCCTGAAGCTTCCAGGATTTATGTTATTTAAGCTGAGGTCTGGTTTTTACCAAAAACAAAAAATCCACGTATCTTTAATGTATAAGAAAGGAAGAGGAGATCTTTCTTGTCTCTGCTCAGAATGAATTTAAACTGGTTTAGAGATAGCATTTTAGGCTCACAGTATTTAGAGCTCAAAGAGCTCTGACAGTCACTCCTCATTTTACGCATGAGGAAACTGAGGCCAAAAGTGGGCTGCAGAGTCTAGACACAAACCCAGCTCACCTGACTCCAAATCCAGCACTCTTGAATTATTATGGCCCAGCTGCCTAACTGAGAAGATCATGAAAAACATGAGCCGCTTTTGGCTGAGGACAGGGAGTTTCCCTCCCTCCCTCATCAGCATCAGCAGGAAGGATCAGACAGCATCCCAAATTCTCTCTTCTGACCTGGCAGGCTGACAAGTTTAGCCCCTCACAGTGGGTTTAGTAGGAGTTCAACTATCTTCTGGTGACAGAAAAGGGGATTTTCTCAAGATGGACACCGACAAGAACAGCAAGAATATCTGACTCTTTGGAGCCAGGGCTAGCTGGGTAGCCCCCTCTGATCTTGGGAAGGAAGAGTGGGTGCCAAGAGCAAGAGATGTGTTCTGTATGTTACCTCATTGAAAATGACCTCCATGTAAATCTCTGTGACACAAGGGCCCTGGGAAGGGCAAGCCACTAGTACTGGCGTCTATGAAGAACCAGGGTGTTAACAATGAGAGTGGAGTAGGGCCCACACTCTCTAATCACCTGTTCAATACTTGCATGGAGAGGTTCAGAGGATGAGTCAGTTTCAATAAATCAGGTCTGATAAAGTCCCCAAATTAAACATTCAGAAAATCCAAAGTGCAGGAAAAAGAAGAAAATCAACAGAGTCAGCTAAGTGACTTGGAATCAGACAGACCTAATTTCAAATCCTCCCTCACACCTGGTTGTGTGACCCTAAGCAGGTTGCTTACCTTCTCTATTCCTCAGTTTCTCCATCTATAAAATACGAGGGTTGAATTCGATGACCTCTGACGTCCTTTCCGTCTCTAAAATCTATGATCCCATTATGAATACATAGCTCTCCTAATAGTATGCATGCTATAGGTACTTAATAAATGCTTGTTGAATGAATGAATGATGAAATCTCCAGACTCAAAGAGAAGTTCAGGAAAAAGGACAATCAAGTTAATGAAAATAAGTAAACCACAAGAAAAACAAAACAAAACAAAAACCTCCCCAGGAAAGCAGGCCCTGAGTCTAGGAAACCCAGGTCCAGTATAAGCTGAGTGGCTTTGTGTCCTGGGAGTCAAGGCTCTACCCCCAAAGGGTCTGGAATGTTTCTGGTCTAAGACCATTTCTAGTTTATTCAAGTCTTTGGGATAGGCAGCGTCCTTGGGAGCTATACAGACTATCTCCTTCCATATAACTTGACTTCCATACTGTTCTTTCATCAGGGGTAGGTGGGTCACAGGTGTCAAGGTCACGGGGTCAGTCCTTGAAAATCATAGCCATCATCTGGTTAAAAATCCCTCCCTCCCTCCCCTGGCAAGAGATCTCCAAGCATGGTTTCCTGGTGCCATTTATTGATGAGATGCTCTGATGCCAGAGTACCTCTCTCTTCTTTACTTTGACTAGGGAGACCACTAAGTTGAAACCTGCAGTCAAATCTGAAGCAGAATCCCTGGCCCCACTTTACTCCTTATTATTAATGGTTTAACATAAATGGAAAGGTCATGGGCTCTTCTTCAGTCACAGGTGGACATGACCAATGTAAAACTGAGAACGGGGGCTGTAGGGAAAACACCACACACATGAGTTTTGGTTTAAAACATACAATGTAGGAGAAGGGATACATTAGAAGCCATTTGGAGAGGTTTGGACCCTTAAGTCAGCTTAATTGCCTTTCCCATCTTCCTCCCTTCCCATGACAGCAGCTCACACCTATGAAAAAAAAGAGTCACCATGGCCTGAGTCATCAGACCAGCCCAGTCTTAGCTCAGCTGGGCCAGGCAGGTGAGAGAACTCAGAGCTTCCCCCCCACCTCCAATTGTTATGTTAATCTGCCTGACTATGATGAGAAATTATCAGAAGAATAAATGGGGGGGGGGAGAAGACCTAGGGCTGCAGAAGTGGGGTGAGGAAGAGAGAAGGGGGGGGCGTGCTTGCGGGGAGGTCAGATTTGCTTTTCTCTTAGAAAAAAAATAGAGGTTCAAAGGGAGGAGGCCTCAGAGGCAAGGCAAAGCATAACACATCAGAGTTCCAGTGGCAGGGGGCAGAAACAGAAGCAGGAGGAGCAGGCAGAAGCCACTGGTGACAAGGTGACACCAGCACACGAGAGTGAAAGACAGAGGAAGCAAAGGGTGGCAGAGTGGCAACATCACTGCCAGACTGAGAGGGAGTGAAAAGACAGAGACAAGAGCGAGAGAGAAGAGAAGCGAAGGGTGTGATGACAAAGAGACTGGAACCTATGGGGACACAACAAGGGTGAGAGTCTGACAGATACAGGCTGGCAAGGACGGCCTGCCATAGAGAAAGTGAGAGGGGGACATGGCGTGCCAGTGGCAATCGATGTCAGAGAATGGCATAAAGACGGAAACAAAGCCTGGGTCGGTGTCAGAAAGCTCCAGCATGAGGGTCACGGTGCCATGGACAGGTAAGGGTGACAAGGAGAGATGGGGACAGAGAGAGTATGTTGTGTGCCAACAACAGTGACGGGGGCAGGGACAGCCGGTGTGACAGGCACAGTGACATGGAGACAGGAAGAGTGGGAGTGACAGAGAGAGTGCTCCCAAGACGGGACGGTGACAGGGAAAGTAGAACAATGAGAAGAGATCTGAGAGGCAGAGTGGTGGTGAGTGACAGGCAGCAGGAGAGTGCCAGGGTCCGAGCCCCAGATACAGCGTGGCGATGGCAGATTCAGAGGCGCGGGCGGCGGGACTCACCGTGTCCTTGGACGAGCCCAGCTTCTTCAGGCCATCGAGGGGCAGCAGATCAGCCGAATCCTTGTGGATGAACTGCACAGCCTGCTTCATGCGGCGCTGCTGCCGCAGAGAAGCTGCCTCCCGCATATCGGCTTCCTTGCGGCCCCCCTCCGTCAGAAGCCCTGAGTAAAACATGTCCAGCTCAGCCCCGGCCCCAGCCCCGTTCAGACTCCTCTGGTCCCTCCGGTCCCAGCCTCGGCACCGGCCGCTCTCTGGATCCAGCTCTGGTCCTCACTTTATAGCCGTGGCTGGTGACGTAAGTGGGGAAGCGGGGAAGCGGGGAAGCGGGGAGGGGGGGCATTTCTTGACTTATTCCTTAAGCCACCTCCCCCTCACACTCCTTTGGGGGGTGGCAACTGAAGGGACGGAAAGAGGGAGGGAGAAAGAAAGAAAGAAAGATCAAGGTGGGGCCAGGACAAGGCAGAGGAGAAGAGAGAATGGAAAGGAAGGGGAGAGGAAGAGGAGAGGAGGGAAAGAAAAGAGAGAGGGGAGAGGAGGCGAAGGAAGGAGGGAGAGCAGGGAGAAGAATGCAGGGGAACGAAGGAGGCAGAAAGGAGAGGTGAGAAGATAGGATGGAGATAGGAAAGAGAGGGAGGAAGAGGAGAAAGCTGTTGGGTGGAGTAGAGAATTGAGAGGTCTCAGCCACCATTGCCTTTGGGAGGGAGCATCTTGGGTCCTGGCTCAGGACCCTGCCATGTATCTGGGTCTGCAACAGAAGAAAGTGAATGTAGGGGGAGCCTCTAATCAATGTGGGAATAAAGGCGCTTCTGCTCAAACGCTTGTCTCCACGCCACCCCCACCCCATCCATGAGCCCCGTTCTTACCTTTCCATGCAGTCGCAGACCCTGGGATCACAGAGACCTTGTCTACTCCTTGGACGTCAGATCCCACACAGCCTCCATCCTCTACACACATCCATGGCATGGCACCCCGCCCCCAACCCACAGAGAGCCCTAGTTTAGGATGGTGACACCCACTGAAGTTTGAAGACAAGATTTTCTCCAATTTGAGGTCTGTCCCCACCCACTACACCATGTGACTGAATGAGGATGGGGAGGAGGGGGCAGAAAATGTCCTTAAGGGTCACTCTGCTGAGTGGCCCCTTTGGACAGCTTCTCTTTCCCCAAACAACTGCCCCCCACCCCCACCTTGAGGCCGGGGCAGATGGACAGACTCTGGAGCAGTCGGACACACAGGGTGATTATACTTAGTTTCTCCAGGGACTTGGAGCCAGTGTCCCAGGCCCTGGGGAGGAGGGAAGGGCAGGCAGAGATAAAAGCAGGTTACCCTGGAGAGGAGGAGAGTCCAGACAAAGCCAGACACTGTGAGCCATAGAAGAGATTCACAGGTACTGGCCCATCCATTAGAAATGGATCACTAAGTTACCCAAGCAGGACTCAAGGGAAGGCGCAGCTGTCCTGTGCCATGACTGCCCTGACACTCCCCAGAGATCTGCAAGAATTCACTCCAAATCTTTCATTTGAATGGAGAACTCTTGTCTGGTTATCAGCCTCACCTGAAACAAGAATAGCCAGTACTTATATAGGGTTCTACAGCACTTTAAGGTTTACAACACACTTTGCATATGTTATGTCATCTGGCATATGTTGGCAGGGCAGAATATGCTTTGTGTGCCGGGCACAAGGAACAAATGCTCCTAAGCATATGGGAGATTATAGCTTGACCAGCATATGCACGCAGGAAGAAGTCAGGAGCGGCACACACGTTCTTACACTCAAAGATGTCCAAGATATACTCGTTAGAATCTCCAAGGAAAGAAAATCTTGATTTTTTGTCCTGATCACTCACACTCAAAAGTCACAAATTATTCCCCCCCACCTTAGGCCTCATTTCTTCACCTCTAAAATGTCAAAAGTAATTCAGCCCTACAGCCTTGCACACCTTTCCAAATATTATCACCTATACTTCCCCTAGAGCATAGGCAGTACTCTGCACTCTTGTCGACCTGAACTACTTACTCTGTCCTTCCTTCTCAGCCCCTCTTCCAACCAGTTCTGTGTTTTCTTGCTTACAAATATTTGGAATGTCTTTGGGTCCCCTCATTCTACCCATATTTTAATTCTGAGCTCAGGTGCCACCTCTTTATTGGAGGCTTTCTTGGTATCTACAAGCATAGTACTTTGTTTTGTAACTTTCTAATGCACTTGCTATGTATGAGTATGTATTCTAGCTATGTCCTTTCTAATGTACTTGCTATGTATCAGTGTGTATTCTAGCTATGTCCTTTCTAATGCACTTGCTATGTATCAGTGTGTATTCTAGCTATGCCCTTTCTAATGCACTTGCTATGTATGAGTATGTATTCTAGCTATGCCCTTTCTAATGCACTTGCTATGTATCAGTGTGTATTCTAGTTATGCCCTTTCTAGTGCACTTGCTATGTATGAGTATGTATTCTAGCTATGCCCTTTCTAATGCACTTGCTATGTATCAGTGCACACTCTAGCTATCTATATTTGAGTCTCATCTTCAGAGGTACTCCGAGCTCCTGACATGCAGAGCAAATCCAAATTCATAGGACAGTTTCAGAGTCTAAACATCATTATCATCAAAAACAACAACAACAAGCTTACTCACCTGGCTCTTGAGAAAGCTCCTGGACTGAATTCAGAATTTTGCCAAGCCTGGGAGAAGACACTTTCTTCAATTTTAACCATGAAAAAGTGATCACAGACAATCCTAAACACAAGAGGCCACAGGCCAAGTGAGAGAGAAGCCAAATTGTTCACCTCCCTTGGGGTCCTCTTGGCAATGATCTTGGCTCTGTGAACAATGGTGGCTCCCTCAAGCCTGGCTATCAGAAACCATCCCTTCCGCCTGTTCACCTGGACCCCTGCCTGATAGCTCCCTCCTACTCCTTCACCAAGGGAACCAGGTAAGAGACAGCCCTTTCTTTGTCACATAGACGACCGGTTCTTTTGTACTCAGCAAACCAGCTGGGCCAGCCCAACAGTGAAGACTGTGTGATTTAACTTTTGGGGGGAGATAGTCACCCTTCCCCCATGTCCCAGTAGAAGCAATATTCCTTGAGCAGTGAGGTAGAAGAACACAGGTGGAATATAACTACCTCCCCCAATCAGCTCCCTCTCACAGACTTAAACTGTGTAAATACCACGGATAAACATCCCTGAAGAACAAAGGTGCATCTTTGACAGCTCAAATCCCTTAAAATGAATAACAAGCTCTACTCTGGCTAGACTGAACTTTGGTTATATTGAATGTTGCTTAAAATGAGTGAACCCTCAGTTAGAATTTGGAAGTCTTTTGTTTTAGAATTTGTTGAAATGTGATGTGATCTGATTGATAAAAAGAAGTATGGTACCATAGAAAGAGTATGGCCTCTGGAGTCAGAGGACCTAGGTCCTCTGTGACTTTGGGCAAATTACTTAGTTTTGTCATCTGTAAAATGGAGTGGGGGCAGTGCTAGCTTCAATGGCTTCTGAAGTCTCTTCAAGATCTATGATCTATACCTTAAAAGCACTGCCTTGATATTTTTGATTTGCAAGTTGTACATCTTACACATCTATTTGGGAGAGTAGGGAATAGATTTTGTTCATAGGTCCTTGGTATTAACAGTCAATGTGGCAGCTAGTGGTGCATTGGATAAACTATTGGGCTGGGAATCAGGAAGACCTGAGTTCAAATACAGCCTCAGATACTTACTAGCTGTATGAGCCTGAGCCAGTCACTTAACTTTTGTCTGCCTCAATTTCCTCAACTGTCAAATGGGTTGTAATAATAGCACCTTCCTTCCAGGCTTGTGTGTGAGGATCAAATGAGATATTATGTGTTAAGTACTTAGCACAGTGACGGACACATAGTAGACACTTATTAAATAGTTGCTCTTTCCCTTTCTCCTTCCATCTCCTCCCCAATAAAGGGAGAATCTAACCATTAGGTTACCTGGAACAGGTGTCCAGGAGTAGTAGTTGGTATTTTACATTATGTTAATTATTCCAGTTCCCTTGATCACTCCCCAAATACAGAATGTATAGGTTAATTTTTTGGAGGGAAGGGTCACTTAGAAATACTCTGACACAATTAGCCATTATTCATTTCTATACTGTTCCACAACCCTGCCTGGGATAGGGGGCAGCTAAGTGTCACAATGGATAGAATACTGGGCTTAGAATCAGGAAGACTCATCTTCATGAGTTCAAATCCAGTTTCAGACACTTCCAAGTTGTGTGACCCTGGGCAAGTCACTTAACCCTGTTTGGCTCAGTTTCCTTATCTGTAAAATGAGCTGGAGAAGGAAATGACAAACCATTCCAGTATCTTTGCTAAGAAAACCCCAAATGGGGTCATGAAGAATCAGACATGACTGAAACAACCAAACAACAATTATAAATCCATAAGTCAAGACTGCAGAATGAAAAGTTACCTCCCTAGGTTACCTCCCTGAATCTACCTCCCTAATAACTTCCCAAACAAACATTAAAAAGCTAGATGAAGCAACAGTCCATGAAATGAAATCAGAGTAAACTCCACCATCTAGTCCGTGTCTACACAGGAAGGAAATTGCCTGAAGGTGATAGAAACTTTGTTTAGGGGAACCAGGAAAACTTCAAGCCAACCTGATCTCTGATTAAAAAAAAAAAAAACCAGACAATTCCAGCCCTGGACTGTCATAGCCATAGCAGAGGACCAGGCCAACTGTTAGTAAGTCCTTGTATAAGAAGACTGAGATGAGCAGAGGTTATTGAAAAGTATGTATGCTTTGGGGTCTCCCAGGAGGCCTCAAGCTACTTGTGATTCTGATATCCTTCCCAGACATAGCAGGGGACAATAGGCAATTCCTGATAGGTGACCACCCAAGGAGATTGGGACAGGAAGTGTCCAGGCCTCCAGCATTGGGGATCCCACTAGAATGCAGATTAAACTAATACTAGTGACCACACCAGGAATTCCAAGAGATGAAGATTAAATAGAGGCACCCAGGAACCCTCTAGGAGGCCTCAAACCAGGGTGACTTCTAATATCTCATCAGGATCTCTCAGGACCAATGCAGAGTAAAAGCCAACTCACAAATGGTATTTGAAAGGGGACAGAAATAAGACAGAGACAGACTCTGCTTAGGTAACCAGAACAGGGGAACCAGGAACCAGGTGCTCCACCCAAAACTGAGGCAAGTTGGTGGCAATGGAATCCGGAATGCAAAGGGCACAGGATCTGAACTGATTCATCTCATCTTAAAGAGCAAAAGGTGCCAGAAGTGGTTCCTGGCACACAGTCCCAATTTAAGAACTGTCTAGAGGCAGGAGGAAACAAGAAAAAAAGTTCTTACACAATAAAGAAATATCTGAGGTAGGAGAAACCTAAGCTGTAAACCCAAAACACTGTAGCAACTCCACAAGAACAATAGACAGAGAGTTAACAAAAAGAATGTTTTGGTTGCAAGTACTCCAAAAAAAAAAAAAAATAGAAGACAGGAAGCAAGAGATTAAAAAGTAAAATTGGAACTCCTAAGGAACAAATTGGAAGAAGAAAAATGAGCTCATAAGAAAAAACAAAAAACATGACACACATAGTAGACTCCCTGAGAAAACAGAATTGAGCAAACAGAACTTAGTGATTCAATAAAACAACCAAGAATATTAAAACAAAGCTAAAAGAAGGAAAACTTAAGACATGTTGTCTACTATCAAAAACAATTAAACTAAAAAGCAGGTCAATTAATGGATCATCAGGCTCCCTGAAAACCACAATCAAACAGAAATTCAAGATATATTTCAAGAAATCATAAAATAAAACTAATCAGATGTATTACAACTAATGGGCAGAGAAAAGAAAGAAAGAATTGACTGGTCACCTCCTGAAACAAGTATCAAACTGAGAGCTTCTAGGTCAAAGAAAAAATGCCACAAGCAAACAGAAAGAAATAGCTCAAATATCAAGATGCTACTCTCCGGATTATGCAAGACTAGTCTGCAACCACAAGAAAGGAAAGAATATCATGGAATACAATACAGACAGTTTTCACTTTGCATAAATTTACATTATACAAATTTACTACCCATGGGCAGGTGACAGTATCTGTGCCAGCCCAGGCTCTGGCTCCAACTCTGGCTTCCAGCAGGCATTGGAAGGTACCAGGGGTCCCCCACTCTGGGCACTGAAGTTGCTCTATCTGTGGGGGCCCAGGCACTAAAGCCACTCTGGCTGCAGGGACCTAAGAGACTCAGAGGGAGCAGAACCACTCAGAGCCCCATGAGGGGAAGGGGAGATCTGCAGAATTACCCACTTACATTAAGTGAGAACTGGTTGTGTACCAAAAGACAAAAGAAAAAGGCTTACCACCAAGAAAAAAAAAACTATTCTATAAAAATGAATAAAATCTTACATGAAGGAGAGTGGATCTTTTATAGGACAAAAGACCTTTAAGAATTTTTGATGAAAAGAATCTCTGAAACATAGGAGATGAGAGAAACCTGTAAATGAATAAATGAATGAAAAAGCATTTACTAAGCACTAATTATTGTTATTTATTTGAATAAATGCAAAAAGCCAAATGAGGATCAAATAAATTCTAATAGAGAAAGAAGAGAGAGGTGATTACATTTGTGATTCCATTCACTAACAGTTCAGAATAGTTTCTTCTGAGACTTATTTCTGAGAATTTATTATCCGCCAGTGAGGGGAAGAAGCCTTAAGCAGGGACAGTACCCTAGGTGACTAGACTGAAAAGAAGGTTAAAAAGGAGGCAGGGCAATGCAGAAGACACTAAGGAGAGTGGTCACTGGGCTTGGACATCAAGGGATCAGGACATGATGGTGAACAAGAAAGGGGCAAACAGTGACAACAAGGGGACAAAACATGGACAGCAAAGGGACAATAGACTAACAGTAACATCAAGTGGACTGGATATTGTAGGGCTTGTATACAGGGGAAGGAGACAGAAAACTGGGGCATCACATCACATCAAGGAGGCTGGGCATTTGTGCCTGGATACAGAAGGGCGGATACCAAGGTGATTAGAGATTGGAAATAGACACTATGGAGTTATAGAAGGACAAATATTAGATACCACAAACTGAGCATAAGGCTGTGGATATGTGACATGGAGAAACATTGGGTGGAAAAGCAGCTAGATAGTAGCTAAGTGGATAGAATTGGACCTAGAGTCAGGAAGACCGGAATTCAAATCTGTCCTCAGATACTCACTAGCTGCATGACTCTTGGCAAATAAGTCACTTAACTTCTGTCTGCCTGAGTTTCCTTGTCTGCAAAATGTGGGTAATAATAATAATAATAATAATTAATAATAATAATAATAATAATAATACCTGCCTTTCAGGGATGTAAGGATAAAATGAAATAATGTTTTTAAAGTGCCTTGCAAACCTTAAGTTATCATATAAATGCTAGTTGTTATTATTGTTGTTGTTTTTATTATTAATATGAAGAGGACATCGCTATTTTGTCAATATTTTTAAACAAAAGGTAATGGTACAAATATTGAGGGACAACCCCAAAGAGACTGGACACTGGAGGATGGATAATAAGAGGCAGACTCCGAGGGTTCATTACACAAGTAAAGGACACCAAGAGAGCAAGATACTAGAGAAGGAATACTCAGAGTAATGGTCACCAAGGAAGCTGGACACTAGGATTGGCCATGGGAGAAGGGTGGGGAGATATTGGGAAACCTGATTGGGAATATCTGAGTATGAAAAATGGAGACCCCAAGCTATCAGTAGCAAAGAGGAACAGGATGCCAGGGGTTTTATGGAGTTACTAAACGGAAGGAAATGAAGTCAAGTGGAATAGCAATGGGGTAGTAACTGGGGGTCTGTTCTGGAACCATATTCCTTTCTAAGTTTTATTATATCAAGCTTCCCCAAGAGTTGTCATGGGACACTCTTGGACAAGTCTTCTTGGGTGTCCAGTACCTCACTAGGAACAGGGTGAAATATGGACCCAAGGTCACTATGAGACCAAGTATAAGATGCCCAACCTGAGGTTTGACAGGAGCCAGAACCAGGGTCAAAGGACAATTGGTAATTTAGGTTCACTCTGGGTACAAAGAGAGTCAGGCAGGCTCATGATTGGTCAGAACTGCTGTTTATTGAATGTCTATGTGGCAGCAGGTACAGTTCTGTGTGTCCAGGAGACTCTTGACTCCAGGGGGATCTCACAATATACATGGAGAAGGGAACAAAAGGGAGAAGCCAGCTTAATATTTGGGATCCAGGCCTGCTGGTCTGAAGTGATTGGGATCTTTGCCACTTCGGCCCCATCTGTTGGCTTCCTGGTCTGCCGTGGAATCTTCTGCATTCCAGCCAAAGCTGCCTCCCTGTGCGAACTCCCGGGCATCACTGAAAGATAAGGAGTTTAAAGAAATCAGTGGTTCACTTCCAGACCAATACATCTGGGCTCTATCTTCCTCATCTCTGAGGAGAAAGAGGGCACTGTGATAAGAGGATGTAGAAGCCTGGGGGATGGTGGGGGATGGGGGTGGGAGGTGCTGCTGCTGTTGCTACTGCTGATTAATTATGCTCCCAAGCAGTGGGGGCTCAGAGCTCAACTCTGTGCTATGCATAGCTCAGCTCCTGCCAGAATCAGCCCAACGGGAATAAGTGACTTAGAAATCCTCCCTCACATGGCTAATGAGGGAATTGGTTTTGCTTGCTTATACATATTTGTAGTGAGTTTTGTTTTTCTTACCTTCTGAGTGGGTGGAAGTAGAGAAGGTGAGTGGGAGAGAATTCAAAAATGAAAATAAAATTAAATTTTTTAAAGAAATCATCTTTCAATTAATCTGTGCCAATAGGATGATAATGAAATGATAATGTCAAGTGAACTGATTTACTCAATGCCGTACCAAAAAGGGTTACTTTACATAATTTTAAAAAACAATAACGAAATTCATCTGGGGGAACCAAAGATCAAGAATCTCAAGGGAACTAATGAAAAATAGCGGGAAGGAAGGAGTACTAGCTCTGAAACTATGGAACAAAAAAATAATCATTAAAAGTCTTTCACACTGCTTTAAAAAAGAGTTGATCAGAGGAACAGATGAAGTACAAAAAATATAAATAAATACAGTAGCTTAGTGTTTGAGAAACCCAAAGACCCTGACAAGTAGGTTTGGATCTCACTATTTAATGAAAACTATTGGAAAAACTGGAAAATAGGCAGAAATTCGATGGAGGTGAACATTTTATACCACATACCACAGTAAGTTCCAACTGGGTATAAAACCCAGATATAAAAGTTCAAATCATCAACAAATTAGATGAAGAAGGAAGGGGATACCTTTCATAACTATGAAAAGGGAAAGAGTTCTTACACAAATCAGTAGAGAAAATCATGGGAGATAAAACAGGCTATTTCAATTATAGACAATTGAATGGCTTTTGCACAAACAAAAGGGATGAAGTTAAATTAAAAGAGAAACAGTTAACTGTAAAAAAAAAAAAGTCTTTGCGGCAAGTTCCTTGATAAAAGTCTGATGTCCAAGGTAACTACAGAGCTAATTCAAATATATAAGAACAAAAGTCCTTGTTCAATAGATAGTCAAAGGCCATGAATGGGAAGTTCTCAAAAGAAGAAAGGTAAGATAACTACAGCCATATAAAAACATCCCAAATCACTAACAGTCAGAGAAATATGCATTACAATAATTTTAAGGTTCCACCTCATCTACATCAGACCAAAAGGAAAAGATAACCAAAAAGGAAAATGATGATCCTGGGCAGGGCTGTGAGAGGGCTGGCAGACTAGTCCACTGTAGATGGAGCTGTCAATTGGTACAGACACTCTGGAAAGCAACTTGGACCTCTCTACCCAGTGAATAGATGTACAAAGAAGTGAATAGACCAGGAACACCATTTATTCAATGGATACTATGTTGTAAAGAGAAACAATTGTGAAAAACTAGGGACTCATTTCAACTCAGCAAACACACCAAATTCCAGAAGATCAATGATGAAATACATTTCTCTCATTTTGATGGGAAGCAAATGGGCTAGAGAGGCAGAATGAGGTATACACTCTCAACAAGTCAAATGTCTGCACTAATTTAGTTTGATGTTCATTTGTTATGAAGGAAAGTTTTCATAAAAATATTGTTGGGGAAGACTTTGAAAGAAAGAAATGAATGAAAAGAAAAGAAAAAATAGTATCAGGAAAGCATTTTAGAAAGCACAGGAGACAGCAGAAGGAAGTTTGAGGGTAGGCACTGACAACCAGGGCAGCTTTGGGACTAATATATTGAATAGATAATACACTTTTTACAACTTAAAAATTTTAAATTAAAATAATAGAGATTCACAGTAACATAAAAAGTCTTCTATTTTGTTATTCTCTATATATGGAAATGTTCCTATTCGATGGTGTCAGACAAGTTCAGAATAACTACAAATAAAAAAATGCTTAAAAAGAAAAAAAAAACAAATCCTCTCTCAAGCCTGACCTTCATTTGATACAAGGTCAATACTAACAGCACATTAGGCCCTGCTACTCTCTCTGTTGGCCAGACAAGACTGATGGCTGCTGATAGGACCCTGCTCTGGACACTGTGGGAAACAGAAGGAGGAGCCCTGCAGGCCTGCAGGGAGCTCATCCATGGGCTTTTCTAAGCCTCCCAGAGTCCCCAGACAGGCCAAATCTGCTCCACCTTCAACACCATTCCAAAATTCATACCTGATGACTTCAGCAATCCAGACCCCCCCAGGTCCTCTCTGGGCAGCATCATAGTTCCCACGAGCATGGAAGTATTTGTCTGAATTTTTAAAGTTGGCTTCACGCATGTCCCAGTAGGCCCTCCACATGTCCCCAGCACCTAGAAAGGGAACAGCAATGGAAGAGGCACACGAGTTACAAGTAGGACTCTAGCAACATGGGTCTGGTTCTAGCGGGGAACGAAACGTCTTCCTAGGTTCAAGTTTTTTTTAAATGGACGGCATGGGAAAGCATCTGCTCAACCATTGGTCCCCAATGGAAATGACAGATCAAGATGAATCTCATAAAATAAGTGTCCCTTCACTGTACTAATAATATCTAAAATATGAAGCAACGGACTCTGAAAACATATTTTTCCCTGAAAATATAATACATTAATTCCTCTTTTATTATTGCTCCATTTCTTTCAGATAGGATCCAGAATAGCAACTTCCACCTTAAGTTGAGCAAAAGATTCTTTCCTGTTTCATAACCATAGGGCTCACCAATGCAGCTGTACAATCTCTCTTTCCGCTGGGGGCAAGGTCCACACCACCAGCCCTGTTTTGCCATTGCTCAGGTTCCAGATTCTATTTCTGGCTGCATCTGCTACCACCTCTCCTTCTACCTTCCAGGTATCTTTCTTCCCTCCTCTCATCATTCACTGCTTCATGCAAAGCAACTCTATCAAAGGTGATGTGCTCTTGAAGAGGCCTTACCTTGACGAGCCTGATCCAGGAAGTCCAGAGACTCTTGAAACCAACCCTGGCTATTGACACACAGGACCAGGGAGAGGAGAAAGAGGCTTGTGACGAGTTTCATTGCTGCTGTCAGGCTGGAAGCAGGAAGGAGAGGGATGCTCAGAGAGACCTGCCAATGCTCATGAATTCCTTTTGGTTTTTTTTCTTTTTCTTTTTTTCATGTTCCTGTCTCTACATTTCCCTTTGTTTTCATGAAGCCCTTCCCTTTTTTTTTTTTTTTTTTTTTTTTTT